AGTGATCACAAATGCTCCTACCCTGAGATACTGTGATTCCACAAAAATGGGCTGTATTGCGTTTGACAAGCCCTTTGACCACTTGGAATATATAAAATGAAGAATTGGGACCACGCTTTCTCTTCACCTCCTTCTAGCTCGGATGAGTCTCCTGGAAGGCAGCTCTGGGTCCAGCCCTGTGTCGGGAAACGAGACTAGGGAGTCACAGGACAGACAGAAGAGCCCAACCGCATGATCTGATTGGAGCACCAAGCCCAATAACGTTCATACTTACACCCGGCTCTTCAGCTATTCAGTTACACGCACACACACAAGGCGGGAACATCCCAGCGCCGTCTGCCCAGTGCCCTTGTGGTGATGATGAAGCCATGCCATCGAGTCCGTGCTGACTCACAGTAACCCCTTGTGGGTTGCCAAGACTGCAACTAGTTAGGGGAGCAGAAAGCCCAGTCGTTCTCCAGCAGAGCTGCTGGTGGTCTTGACCTGCTGACCATGCAGACCGCAGCCCAACGTGAAACCACTGCGCCACCAGGGCTCCTGTGGTAAAGATGGAGGGGGTGAAAGAGTGCGGTGGCTGCCAATCCAGACACTACAAAGAGTACATAATGTAAGATTTGGTTGGTGAAAACTCCAAAGTGTACTAGTCCTGTCCCTTGCTGTAAAAAATTCCTTTTAAAGGTAACCAGTGGAGATATGCTAACTCAGGAACCAGGCAAGCACGACCATTCTGGGGGCTCCTTTCACACCCTCTACCAGTAACATTATCCTACCTGATGGCATCACCCCTCACACACACCGTGTTCCACAATCACTGCAGACCCTCACCTACCTTGAACAGGTGAGGCAACTGCTGGGTGACCAGCTCCTTAAACTCGTTGACGCTGAGGCTGCCCTTCTTGCCCTCCCGCCCCGCAAAGGTGAAGAAGGTGGTCACCACCGTCTCGATGGCCACCTCCAGCTCAGTCAGTGACTCGGCCGCCATTAGGTCCCTGGGGCTGAGGCTAATGTCCCAAGACCTGCGGGGAGGCAGAGTTGCAGAGGGAGAGTCAGGAAGCCCAGGGACCCAGGAACTCGCCATGGAGTCCCCCACCCTGCTTGGCAGGGGGGACTATGGGGGAAAGGGAGGGCGGCTAAGACTTCAGGCAGCTGCAACTCAGTGGGGGCACTGTTTCCAGGGTCCCCTCCTAGGTCTCACAGTCTGGGGGTCCTGTTGAAGTGTCCGTGTGCTTGGAGATCTCTCTAAATAGGATGGTCCCTCCGATTGGAGTCCCCTTTGTGGGAGGTGCTCGGTTAGGGGAACAGCGGGGAGTGGGGTATCTTTGGAGTTCTCAGTCTCCGGCCTCTCTGAGGAGCTTCGGTCCCTGGGGTCCCTCTGGAGTCTCACGAGCCTCAAAGGGCCATGGAGTTGTTTGCCTCCGAAGCTTGTTTGTGTTCAGACCCGGGTCTCCACCCCCTGCACTCCACCCACACCCTCTAACCGGCCTACCAGCCCGGCCGAGAAGTCCAGGGTCTGGCAAATGCCCAGCGGTGGTCAGGGCTGCCTCCGTCTGGACAGACTCCCTCCTGCCTCCCACCGCCTCCCTTCAGGCGCTGAGCCCCGCACCCCAGAGACCCGCTCTTTTCCGGACTCAGTTACCAGGGGACCGGACCCAGGAGGGACTTCACAGACTGCCCAGGCGGGTGGGGGGCGGGCTTGGACACTCAGCCTGCGGGGTTGTGGGAAGAGATGGGGGCCAGACTGGAAGCCAGGGACCAGGCTCAGTGACCACCCCACCCACTTCCCGCCCGGGCTCTGCTGGGACGGTGGCTGGGTCTTCCCAAACCACTTCCTGAATCCCTTTCCGAGCTGGGCTCCCCAGGGTCTGCCCTGCAGGGTTACAGACGCGCACTCACCCGGACGCGGAGATGGGGTGCAGAAAGCGGAGCCGCAGGGCTGAGGTTTATAAACGCCCGCCCCGGGAGGGAGGACCGCACGGCTGCCAGGCCAGGGGTGTCGGGTTGCTGGAGCAAGGGGACCGCCCAACCACACCCCTGAGCCATCCATCAGGCCCCGGGCTCTGGCCCCCAGCCCAGCCCCACAGCGCCTCCGCTTGACAGGGATGGGAAGTCCGGCCAGAGTTGCTGGACACTACTGCTCCCTCGCAGGTCAGGGGGCTTGCTGCCCACACCCCCCACCACCGTGTAGATGCTGAGGGCTGAGGTGCCTGCACGTTGAAAGCCCTATAATCATGATCGATCGATCGCCGAAAGGCGCTCAGGGTTGAGAGATCCAATCGGAGACCAAGATCCCCTCTAAGGGCTCCTGGCTGAGACATTACAAAGGAGGCTGGCTACAGAGAGACTGAGACCCCTAGAGAGACCCCTGGATTGAAAGTCCTCAGGGGGGTCTCAGACCGAAAGCTCTCAGGCACACACACACACACACACACACACACACACACACACACCAGCAAAGGGGACTAAATGACTCACGGAGACCCTATGTGGGAGCCCCAGGCTAAGACCCCCTCCGGAGATCCCTCCCCTTTCCCTGTCCAACAGAGCACAGAGGCTGTCCAGTGGAACCAGGGGGTGAGGCATCCATGCCCCTCTCAGGGCCTCCCTGCTGGTGAGGGCAAGGGAGAAGGGGGGGCACCATGGCTGGAGAGGACACAGGCAGCCTGTCCCAGCCCAGGAGACAGAGGGCGCCTCTGTTCACTGCTGGCCCTTTGCCCCACTGGGTGTCTATGAAGGGGTGGAGCCAGTGAAGGGGAGGGTGTCAGTGGGGGAAGGACAAGTGAAGCCAGGTCTCCCCACCCAGCTCTGGTAACCACACTCGCAGGCTCAGCTGTGTGTCCAGAACCTGCTCTCACCTCGGTCCGGCTGACCGTGAGTATCGTGCCCTCCCTAGGCGAGGGCCCTGGCCTGGTCAGCTTGTGGGGAAGGGGACTTCAGGGGGGTCTCCAGGAGACTGGGGGCAATGGCACGGTGAGGGACTGGGGATTTGATGGGGACATAGGGTGGCAGCGGTTTGGGGTTGGGGGAAACAAGGTCCAGAAGGTGGTAAGGGGAGGCAAGTGAAAGTTGGAGGGAGATCTGGGAGCTCAAGAGATGAGCCGCCAGCAGGAGCGAGCCTGGCAGCTGTGAGCTTCCCAGGTGTCTGGCCTCCCAGCAAGAAGTCCACAAGCCTCCTCCCAAGGGTCCCTAAATCTCCCTGGGGGTGGGGGGGCTGGGGGGGAACCCAGCCCTTGCCTTCTTTCCGGGGGAGTAAGACTGAGAGCCCATAGAAGCATAGAGCCCATGCTTCTGCCCGCCCCTTCCAGCTTCAGCCTCAGTCTCTCCCATTCCCACCCAGCCCTGCCAAGAGCTCAGGTGTCGCAGAAGTCTAGGGCTGGTGGAGGGTGAGTGATGTGGTATCAGGAAGAGAAAGTACTGTGGTACCATTCCCCACCCTAACTCTACCTTCACATGACCTCCCCCTTTTCCCCCTCCCCTTCTTTGCCCAGACCTCCAGGCTCCATTCCCCCCACCCCCAAGCCCCTCCCTTGTTTTCCCATCTGTAAGCCCCGACTCCCATCCAAGTCCCCCCAGAACTGTGCCCCTCCTGGATGGGGCAAGCAAATCAGGCCCCACAAGCTGCCCTCCCTCCCACACACTCTTATCACCTCTATCAGCGCAGCTCCGGTTCCTCAGGTCTCTGTGACAACTTCTCATGTCCGGGAGTTCAGGTGACACTCACAAGGATTCCATTGAAGAGCCAGTATGTCATCGGATCAGGCCCATTGTCCAGCCCCCCAGGCCTGGGGAAGGATGGGGACACTTGATCTGAGACATCTGAGCTGCCCCCTGGGACTGTGGAGGGGCTGATTGTCCCCGGGCAATGGAAAAGAGGCCCCCTGGACCAGCAGGCTCCTCGCCCCTGCCCTCTCCTCACAGCCCCTTGAACTTCAAGGCCCCCCTTGATCTCTTCCAACACACACCAACCTCATTCTCTGGTTCCCACTGTCCGTAGTGACCCAGCTGGGCCTGGGGGGGCGGTGTTACCAAGGCATGGAAAGCAGTAGGGAGGACAAGGCCCTGCAGGTCTCCTCTCCCCTCTCTGGAGTTAGACGCCAAGGATAAGGTTTAAGACTCCCTTCCCACCTGATGGAAGGGTGGGCTGTACGGAGAAGTTCAGAGGAGCCAACCTGGAGGGAAGGGGAAGCACTCCCAGGGAAGCTCACCTGGCAGCGATATCCGAGTTGAGGGACTAAAGGTGGCTCATTGGCGGTGAGACCCTCGCCCAAAGAAGTCTTGGGCCACCCACTCTGGCTGCCACCCCTCCATTTAGGCATACCAGAGACACCAGAGTGACTCTGCCATAGAGGTGGGTAGTGGAGTCAAGGTTGTGGAGATGCCAGCCCACTACATCCAACAACTGGGCAGGCAAGGCCCGGAGTAAAAATAGACTGCTCCCATCCTGTGACCACTCCTGCCCGCCCCACCCTCTTCAGCCTCTGCCTAGGCAGCCATGTGTCCACTGCCCTGGCCCAGCGTCAGCCCAGCTCCCTCTGCCCTATCCCCATGCCCAGAGTCTGACTCTGTCTAGTCGGGACTGCGGTCTGTTTGGGTTTTCCCCACCACATACAATCATGGTAAAAGACGGACAGCCACAGGCCTGTCAGACCAAGGCCCTTCAGCCCTAACTCGATGCCCTGGGCCTGGTCCCCGCCCCAGGCTCACTTCCACCCTGGGGTGGGTGGGGTAGGTGAGCCGCTCACATGGGTTCTGAGCTGGAGTCTGCGATGGAGACCCTCATCAACGTGTTCCACGCCCACTCGGGCAAGGAAGGAGACAAGTACAAACTGAGCAAGAAGGAGCTGAAGGAGCTGTTGCAGACGGAGCTCTCTAGCTTCCTGGACGTGAGCACAGGGAAGGGGCGAGGGAGGGGACGGGGGAGGGGGGGCACCTCCCTCCCTGTCATCTCCTCACCCCCAGCCGCAGCCCAGCCCAACCCTCTCTCTGCTCTCCCAGGCTTCTCTCTTGGGGGTTCCCGGGCTCCTCTACGTTTCCCGGTTCAAGTCTAACTGCGCTGGTTTACTGAGCTCCTGCTAAGTGCTAGGGCCTGTGTAGATCCATCAGTCACAAGGCTCACAGCCTAGGGCGGAAAGACTGGCGAAGTTAACCGTGAACTCTAGGAAATACGCAGCGGAATGGCCCATAACAAGGGTTCCCCCCCCCACAGAAGTTTGGGAGAGAATATTAACCTGATTGAGCGAGCTGCTCTGGGGAGGTTCACTTGAGCCATGGACTGCCACTGGAAGCTAGTGGGGGGAGATGTGACGGATCGGAGTAGACGCTGGCAGAGTGGGTCTTGGCGGGTGGACACTTTAGGGGAAGCCATCAGCGGGAGCAAACACCTGGGAGAGCACCAAGTATGGAGCATGCTCAGTAGTGAATCTGACGGGAGTGAAAGATACATAGTTAGCCTGCGAATGCTAACAGGAGTCAGAGAGTTAGAAGCCTCAAGATACAGTAGAAAGTGCGTCAGCTTTGAGCTTGGATGACAGACCTGGGTTCAAATATAGCCCCACCACTTTCTACCTCTATAACTTAGGGTGAGTTACGGGCCTACTGACTGGCAATTTGTTTCTTCTTAAATGGGAAAAATGAAACCTATCTCCTACTGTTTGCCTTGGATTTAAATGAGGTCATGCTCGCAGCCCTTAGTGCAGCGCATGGCTCTCAACATCTGGTCATTTAGGTCATCTCTCTCTGCCATGTGAAAGAGCTTATTCGATAAGACACCAGTTGATACATGTTTGTTACATTTGAGGAGGAAAGCAGAAGTCTCATTAGCTATCACTGTCCCTTGAGCTCATCTCTGTCTCCAATCCACGGCTCAGTGCCAGACCCCTAAACTTTCTAAGGGCCTGCCTCTCCCTCTCCTCCTCTGGCAGATCCAGAAGGATGCGGATGCTGTGGACAAGGTGATGAAGGAGCTGGATGAGAACAGAGATGGGGAGGTGGACTTCCAGGAGTATGTGGTGCTGGTAGCCGCCCTCACTGTGGCCTGTAACAACTTCTTCTGGGAGAACAGTTGAGCAGGCCGCCCGCTCGGGTAGCGCCCTTCTCTTCTACCATGCCAGACCTGCCCCTCTGCCCCAGGCCCCCATCACCCTGCATTTCCCTTCTCATACCCCCCTGTTCCCCATCAAGGGCGCAAGAGTTGCACACCTGACCTGCAACTCCTTTCATTAAAGGCTTCTCTCACCGGCCGATCGATCATTATCTCTTTCCTGTCGGGTCCAAAAAGTGCACGAAGAGGTGAATGTCTGACTAGTTACGTTCATTCAGGAAGCAGCCTTGTTTGGGGAAGGGTCTTATTTGGAAAGAGGGCACTTGCACTACTACATCCTGCTACTTCAGGAATGCTCAATGCAGCAATATGAGGTTTCAGGGTTCCAGCCCAAAGTAGAAGAGATAACAGCTTCTCAGCAGTAAAGGCAGAAAAAGAAAGCATCTCCCACTGAATATTCAGCCATGACTGACCAAGGGCCTACCGTGTGCACGATGGAGGAGAGGATGGAGACGCCAGTCCTGTCTCAGGTGCTGGGCAAGCTGCTTCCCAGACAGCAGCCAGTGAAAACCCTCTGGGGCACAGTTCTGCTCTGACACACACTAGGGCCTCACCGGGAGCCAGCACCAACTGGGCGGTGACTGCTAACTAGTACCCGGAGCTGGACATGATGCCAATGTTGGGGATATGGCAGTGAGCAAAACACCCATGCTTGTTCTCCAGGGGCTAAAGCCCATTCAAGCACACCTCTCCAAGTACTACAAAGGGGGATGAAAGGGAGCCTTGCTTCCCAAAAGTTACACTCTCAGACACCCACAGGGGTAGTTCTGCCCAGTCCTACAGGGCCGCCCTGAGTCAGCAGCACTCGACGGCAGAGTTCGGTTTTTTGGTTTGGATGCACGAGTAAGATGAAGGAGCAATTTAAAACCGCGTTCATTCATTCATTGCTCAGACACTTGGGCACTGTATTGGGTACCTAGGCATAAGAAAAGTCCTCTTACACATGTGTAGAAATCTGCATGGATGGCAGGTGGGGAGGGAAGGATGGGTGACGCAAAGATCAATATTCGGGGCAAGGAATAGTCAAGTCGGGGAGGGAAGTGGAGAGGACAAGGTGGACAGGCGGTGGTGATAGGGAGCATGGGGATGAGGGGAGGGCCCGTTGCAAATTACCAGGCTCGGCGGTCTCTTAGAGAAAAACCGGGATTAAATTCCTCGAGGTTTTGAGACCTCGATCATTAGCTGAGACGCGATCAAGGAACTATACGGTTTGGGATTTTCCCCGCCAAATCGGGACTGAACGTGCTCCAAGGAGCGGAAGCAAAGGACGCCACGTGACAGGGCGCCAACGGCCGCGAAAGTAAAGACGGAAGAGGCCGCAGCGCCGAGGCCGTGGCCACGCCCCCTCGCGCTGGAACGCCCCGCGTAACAAAAGGAGGGCGCCGCTCAAGCCCCGCCCCCGCCCGAGGCGCCACCCACGCCCTCGCACGGCCGCGGCGCGGTCTTCCCCGGCCCCGAATCGTTGCGTCGAGCTGACGTCTGACGTCATTGCGTCGACGCCATTTTAGCCGGCCCCACTCCGCACTGGGCGTGACCGCCATTTTGTTTGGGACCTCGAGCGGGAGGTGGCGGCGACGGCGGCAGCGGTGGGGACCTCAGACGGAAGGCAGGGTAGGCCCTGTGAGCACGCGGACCGACCAGACAAACAGCCAACAAACAGCCAAACTTTAGCCTTGTTCTCTCTACCGCTTACACGTCCAGCCAACCGTCCACCGAGCTCCCCCGAGCCCCCTCTCCGTCCACTCAGGTTCGGCCGGTCCCCGGCCCTCCCCGCAGCCGTGGTGGCAGCCCCGGGAGGAGCGCTGGCTTCCGTCTCCTTTGGTGAGCTGCGGCCGGGGCAAGGCGCGGGGAGCGCGGGCGGGGGTGCGAGTCGGGAGGCCCCGGAAGGGGGCGGAGCCGGAGGAAGCCCGCGGGAGCGGTGGAGAAAGAAGGGCAAGTGGCGGGTGGCGCCCAGGTGGCCGCCGTGGCCGGGCTCGGGGAATGCCGGGGAAGGTGGCGACTGTGGGCTTGCGGACGGCGCGCTGGCGGCCGGGAGTCCGGTTGACTCGGTGGCAGCGGGTTTGGTGCCGGTGGGTCCCGGGCTTTGGCTTGAGCACGAGTGCGGCCCTAGCGTCACACTGCGCTGCAGGCTCTCGGGGAGCTCGCTCCCAGGTGAACACCTGTTTAGGAAACCTACGCCGTCCCCCGGGTCCCCAACCCCTTGCTAAGGTCCCTACGTCATTGTGGAGCCAGGTGCGCCTGCCTGTCTGTTTTCCCTGTAGACCACTGCGTCTCCACTTCAGCCCCCTCGGAGAATGTGGGGTTGTTATAAGTTGCCTTCGTGTAAGGCACGTGGCACCAGCGTTACCAGTCGAGAACTGCTCTAGACTGAAAACCAAGCTCAGACATTTCCTTTAGCCATCGCTGCTTCTGCTGTGCTGGAAACTTGGACAGATGTTTCATGTCTAAATGTTTTAAATACTGCCTTTTCACTTAAGTACCTGCAAGGGGTGGGGTAGGTGTGAATGCCGGCCTTTTCTGTCGAGGTCGATTGGGCCGTGGAGAAATGAGGGGAATGTTACTCCCGTTTTGCTCATGGTGCCTTTTTGTCTTTTGTAGATTCTCGAGATTTGAAGATGGCTGCACAGTCAGCTCCGAAAGTTGTGCTAAAGAGCACCACCAAGATGTCTCTAAATGAGCGGTGAGGCAGCCAACAGCAACTTCAGCTCGTTCTTACCGTGGGGTCCAATGCACACACACCCAAAACCAAGTTTAAACTAAATACCAACAGAAGGCTACAGACCTCTGTTCTTAGTTGCATCATATGTGGTACACAAGACAAATTGGGCGGTTGTTTCAAAACCCCTTATCAGATTTTTATGTTAAGCTATCTGAAACATTTATCTGGTGGGATGTATTTTGAAAAGACTCCTAACACCCTCCCTCTCTTCACCGTTTTTTTTTAACATGGATACAGGGGTGGTGCAGCACGGGAGCATGGTACCCTGGCTGCAGTAGGCTTGCTACCCAGTCCTAGGCCAGCAGCGTTGTGTCTGGCCTGTAAGAGGCAGGTAGCAAGTCGTGAACCTGTCCAAAGGCCCTTGAATGTCATTCTTGGGCCTTGTAAGAGGCACTTGCTTTGCTTCATTTCACTTTTCTTTCCATTCTGCTTTTTGTTCGTTTTGTTCTGGATTCTTTTATGTTGTATTCTTCTCTTTCATTTCTTAACCCTAACAGGAATAATGGAGTATCTTCACAAGCCCTTAAATGATCGAACTAATCGAACTCTGTCAGCGGTAATTATTTGGGATTAGGAAAGGTAATCTTTTGAGACTTAAGAAAAGTTTAACTTTCTAAAGTATTTTCTACCTCTGAGAGCTTTGGTACATTGAAGGCCTTTTATCAGTAAATGGATTGTGTTGATGTCAGGCCTTGAGGAGATTTACTTAATGCCTGTAATCGCCTCATCCGAAGCGTATGTGTTTTTCTGTACCCTACGTATGATGGCACTTGTTAATAAACCACATTCACAAGCTACTAAATGGACAACTATGTAAGAAATTGTTATGTGCTCTCATCATTTATATGGGCTTGCTCTCTCCAAAGCCCTCGTAGGATGGTGCAAATATTTAACATGCTCAGCTGCTAAAAAATATGGTAGCTGGAGTCTTCCCAGAGGTGCCTCGGCAGCAAGCCGGCAGTCAGCTTTTGAAAAGCTGGCCCTTGCAAACCGGAGGGAGCACACTTCTGCCCTGACACACGTGGAGTTGCCATGAGCCAGAATTGACTTCTGCAGCTAACAGTATTTCCATGGACCTTGAAGGTGCTCTGCTCCTCCTGTGTTTGCCCTTAAAATGCACTCTCAGGTCCCCCAAGAATTTGGCTTTCTGTGTGTGTCTTTCAAACTGCGTCTTTTGTCTTTTGTCATCATATCTGCTTATTGCGTGTTTTTCATACCTTCCACTTCTCTAGAAGTTGTTACCTGAGCCCTTGTTATCACTTTTGATTGAATGTGCTACACTTAGCCGCATTTTCTAAGTTTCTGATTCTTGCAAGTTTGTGGAAACAGAGGAGTCTTTAACCCACATCAGCCTTGATCTAAGTGTACCACTTTACTTAAAGTTCGTGGGATCTGGAGCTCCTGGTCTAGCAAGCCATGAAAATGCCAATAAATGTTTTGTAATAAAGCTTTTATTTAAACATCCATTTTGTTCGACCTTGAAGCTTTACTAATATGCTGAAGAACAAACAGCCGATGCCAGTGAATATTCGCGCTTCGATGCAGCAACAACAGCAGCTAGCCAGTGCCAGAAACAGAAGACTGGCCCAGCAGATGGAGAATAGACCCTCTGTCCAGGCAGCATTAAAACTTAAGCAGGTGAGGGCGTGGGTCTTGATGCTCCAGAAGCAGCTGGTGATCTCTGTCAGACAGTCCACTCAGGCTGTCGAGACGTGAAGGAGGATTGCAAGGTGACTCAGGGCAAAAGCTGAAACTTCTCTGGAGGAAAGAGAAGTTCAGAGAATTCCAATGGGGCAATTACTGCTAAGTAACTGTTCATTGTTTTCTTGGGCAGTTATCAGTGTCAGTCTCTTCATTCTCTGAGCCTTTGCTCTTACGGGGGTGCATTGGCTTTTTCCACAAAGAGAAAGTTGGTTTCGATTTAAGATTGTCTTTAGACATCCTTCATTCTCTGCTAAATGACTTAAAATGAGTAAAGGATTCCCACCTAGTGTTGGAAGTTCAGGGGGACTTAGCCTAAGGTTTTCTGTGCTGACATGCAGAAAGTGTGGGTTGCAAAATACAGAAGGTGTAGGCTATGCCACAGCACCTAGAGTTTTAGCAAACAAGACGCATGAGAACCTTGAGTGATTTAAGTTATTGAGTTCTCTTTCAAATTTCCAGTAAGATAATTCTATACGACCTGAAATAAAACCTGCTCTTTATTATTCATAGACTTTATATGCAAGTCCGGACAGTGGCTGTGGAAGGATATGTCCAAGCTGTGGCTGGGCGCCTGGAGGGCAGTGCCATGCAACTGTAAGGACGTTAGCTGGTAGCCCTGCATGGCTATGCATAAATTCAGTAGTTAAATATAACCCAAACTCCCAACCCACGCTGAGCCATTGGACTCACTGACCAAAAATAAACGAGGCGCTCCGCTTCAGCTGCCTTAATCCTCGGAGTGACTGCAAGCACTTCTGACGCAGAAAAAGTGAGAAGCACCGCATTTTCCAAGAGTACATGGAAGAAATTGCTGAAAATAAGTGTCTGGCAGATGCTCCTTTAAAAGACCACTTAACAGATAGATGCAATTACTGTGCAGAAAATAACCTCCGGAGCAGTGCTGCTTCCGTTGAAGGTATGCAGGGATGGAAATGCCCTGTATGTGGTGGTTAGTACTGTCACCACTTGCCACATGTGGCCCATACCGTTAAGGAACTCCAGACTTAGTGAAACTGAGTGGCAGAGCTGGCCCCTGAAGTTTCCTATCAGTGTTGGAGTACGGTATTGGTTGGCAACTAGGATTGGGAAGGGAGAAGAACTTCTAAGCACGGTGGTTCTTCCCTTTAAAGCCCAGAGCTCGGGATGACTAGGCACTGGAGGACTTGTGGAATGAAGCTCCAGCCTCGTAATTCTTGTGTGCTAGTGGGGGG